CTTCTGTATTTGCTCTGCCAGGATCTCCTGCTTTCATTTCTATCCTGGCAGGGTGAGCCTGACTTTGTTTTGCCAGAAATCTGACAGCACTTCTGTATTGCAGTTGTTATCAAAGTGTTTTAACAGCAGGTGGGGGACACTCGTGGAACTGAGGTGCCCAGTGCATAAACTGTGTCTGTAGGTGCCACGGAGAACCTGCAGGTTCTTTCATGCAAAACTTCAACTTGGTTTGGACACTAACTTAATCAGGGGGTTGCTTAGTGTAGAAATACACAAATTTTTCACATTTGAAATTATTTATTTGATTTTTTTGAGACTGTATTTATTCCACTAAGATTTTAATTAGGAATTTGCTGCTTGTTTCTTGGATGTGGTGGCTCTTGGTTGGCATTCTAGTGTGCTGCAAAGAGAAGTCAATCTTCTCTGCCACTGTTTTTCAAAATATTTACCTCTAGGAGATAGTACTCAATTTTAAAAAGCATTGAGGGCTTTGCACATCAGAGCATGTTGGATTCAAAGGATATGAAGTGTGTACACAGAAAATAAGGGGTTAAGTCAGAGATGTTCACTTTTGCTGCAGTTACTGGGATGGCTGCCTGCATTCCCGATGAATACCCCCAGTTGGAAAGATTTTAAATAGACTGGGCTGGATACATGGGAAAAGCAAAAAAGAGTTCAACCGATGGGAGCATTTTGTCAGGATGATGGACTGAAAAATACAGCAGGTATTTTCTGTCTTTTAGTGTACAAGGCTGTGTAATACAGTTGGGCTCTCCCACCTGAGGGACGTGTGTGCCAGTTGGCACCCGGCTCCCCTCTGGCTTGGCATGGCTGCCTTTCTGGGCCAGCCTTACTGAAGGAATGTGATTTGCTATGAAAAATGTGTTGATCAGGCTTGGTTTTCTGCCACCAGGCAGATTAGTGAATTGCCTTGTCTGCCTCCCATTGCTTTACTCCAGCCAGCAACATCTAAGCCTTTATGATTTTGCAGGTCTTCATTAAAAATAGCTGTTTCTATATCTGATTACTGAGCCCCATCTGGGGAGAAATGAGCCTTTCATCTGTGTATTATGAGGCCATATCTGAGCACATTGATTTCATAACAGAGTAAAATCAGACAAACTTTCTGTTCAATTGCTTTTCCAGCTCATCTCCAAGTTCTCTATGAGCCCTGTCCTGTCCCCAGCACATAATGTCTGGGGTTAGGGCTTTTGTTTTGTTTTGTTTTAATTGCTCTTTTACTGCTAAATGTAATTTTTGTAATTGCTTACATAACTCCAGGGTTTTATTTTAAATTAATCTAGCTTTGCAGTCATTCTACATATGTTGCTCCTAACATTGCCTATTATTTGGATTAATTCCACTAATTTATCACCTCTGTTTAGATATGCATTGTTTTTATAATCCTTACAACTGAATTAAAACACACTTGTTGGGCTAAAGGCGAAGTTTGCTTCAGTAAATCAAGTGGCTTTCTTTTCCCTCTTGGTTACTCCATATTTATTTGGACAGGGTTTTTTTCTGTGTGTGCTCTGGTAGCTGACTGTAAAATTAGCAAATATTCTAGTAAATCAATTTAAATTATTTTGATTATATAATAAAATTAATGGATAGTGCTGGAATTTATTTTTCTTTTTGTCAAATTCTAAAATATTTCTCAAGATTTAAACATCTAATTAGCAGCCAACTTCTTTTACCTAAGGTTAGCTCTAAAGCTTGATGGTGGCATTAGTGAGAGGAGCAGAACTCATTATTAGCTTGTATTTTTAGTTGGTGCCTGGCTATTCATCTCTTGAGTATATTTTTAAATGGTTGGGTAGGCATAACCTAAAAGCCAGTACAGCCTGTCCTCATAAGCAAGAGCTGTGCCATCAGGTGCTTTCTTTATGCACAGAGCAAATGGAGACATTTAATGGTGGTGCTCATCTCTCATCTTCCCATTTTCCCCACCAGTGCATTGTAAAGGGACCAAGCCGATACATAATGTGGGACTTATGGGCAAATTACTTTCTTAAAGGAAAATTTCCTTTGAAAATGGGCTTCCACTGTGAGCAGGCTGTTCTTCCATGAGTACAAATACAGAACGAGAAACACTGAGATCTTTCACTGCCTGTATATTGAAGCTGTCTTTAGGGACGGGGAGGAAAGGCTTTTTTCTGAATGTGCATGAAAGGAACAGCACACAGTTTATTGTTCGACAGCCCCTGCCAAACTCTTTTTTGATGAATACATGCATATATTTCTGGGATTTGGCATGTGAAAAACCCTTGTGGGATATCTCTTTGGGTGTGATATAGTGTTAAAATATGACAGGTACCAAGTCCAACGTTTTCTCAACTGAAAAACTCCTCCATTGATGGCGACACTGCAAACAGCAGAAATGTGAGCCAAGGGTTTCTCAGATGTGCAGCAGAGCTCAGCTTTCCCATTCACTGTGAGCAGGCAAGGAGGATTCATAGGGCTACCAAAGGATGCAGGCTGGATTAGTAAAGGGCAACTCACATTTTGTCTAAAATGAGGAACAGTCAGGGATTTTCTCCTAACTGAGTGGCTGATCAATTCAGTACATGTGAAAAGACCTTTTTTAAACAGAAACAAACCAATTCCCTTAGATTCCACTATTAATTGCATGTAATACACAGTGTATCTATTTTACTATAGCGTTAACATTTTTGAGATTGCATATAGTTATTTTTCTTCCAGCATGTGGCGCTTTAATGATTTCTCACAAATTGCAATTTTTAATCTTAAATTGAAAATGTGTCCAGAAATTTAACTAGGCCCAGACTTGCATTGTAGAAAATAAAGGAAAGGATTGCAGCTCTCATAAACTCTTATCCATGAGTAATTATCTTGTTATGTTAAAGTGGTTCTCCTGAATATTAAAATAATTAGGACCAACGATCTCAGCAATACTTTCCTCAGATGTTGTAATTGGCAGGGGGTGTTAACTAATTAAATGTATTTCTATTGCTGGCTGGCTAAAGAAAAGGATGAAGCACTTATAATTGCTGAGATTTAGCAAGAGCACTTGTTTACTACAGTATAAACACAGAGATTACGGTGTTTGTGATGGGCTAATAGCTGAGACAGGAACAAAAATGCTTCCTGAGGGCATTTCTCCTTGCTCAAGGGGAGCTGGAATAAGGGGTGTTGGCAGAGGATGGGGCTCTCCCCGTGAGCTCAGCAGTGGCTGCTGCAGCACTGGATCTCACAGGATGGGTCCCAAAGCACTGGGAATTGCTGTGGGCTGGAGGGAAAAGGCACACGTCTCTCTGCAAGGGCTCATGATGGAAACAGGCTGGCAGGTCGGCCAAGGCATCCATCCAGCCCAGAGCGGGGTTTGTGTGCCAGTGCTGGGTTAAACACCTGCCCTGTGTGCTGTATCCTGGGATCCTGTTCCTGCCCCGTGGCAGCAGACGTTGGGTTGGTCTGTGCTTCCTCCCCTCCTCTGCAATGAACCACTGCTGGTGTCTCAGAAAGCTGGTGGTTACTTGCTCTTATTTCAAAAGTGGCTCTTTCTCTCTCTCTCTCTCTCTCTCTCTCTCTCTCTCTCTCTCTCTCTCTCTCTCTCTCTCTCTCTCTCTCTCTCTCTCTCTCTCTCTCTCTCTCTCTCTCTCTCTCTCTCTCTCTCTCTCTTTTTTTTTTTTTTTTAAGTTCATAGGAAAGACTTTAAAAAAAATCACTCTAAAATTGGCTATTGTCTGATCTCTGAAGTAATCAATTTTGGATTCAGCCCCCTATAACAGTTTGACATTTCAGGGTCAGCAGAACAACTTTCTGGCAGATTGAAAAGCTGTGTTTCTGGCCCCAGGGTAGATTAGAGTAAAACTGGGCCAAATAAAATGAGGTTTCAAAGCATCTCACTTCCATTTCACTGCAGTTGGAAAAGGCAGTGAGGGCTGTTTTTAGGGAGCACAGATGCCAGAAACCTTGCCTCTTTCCATGCTTCCCCGTCTCCATTTCCCCACTTGGGCTTCCTCCTCTTCCTTTGGAGCAATCCCAGGCGCAGCCATCACTGGCTGGATCAATCCAGCACAGGCTGGATCAGTGACAGCTCCTCTCCAAAGCATCCCTAAAATGCACAGGAGGGACTGTCCCCTTGGAGAGGTGGGACATGAAAGCAGGGAGATGTATCCCCCATCCCCAGCATTTTCCTGCTTCCTCTCCTCCTCCTTCATCCTCCTTTACTACCTTTGCCCCTCCTCTCCCCTACCATTCCAGCTTTGTTCTCCTCTGTTTTTTTCATTCTCCTGCCATTTCTTCTTGTATTCTCTGTCATCCCTCAGTCCACTCTCATGACAGCACAGAACAGCAGCAGTCTTTTCCCTAGCTGGGGGGAAGCTGGAGCCCATTAGCTGCCTCAGCCAAAATCCACCTCCCCTGCTCACTCCTTGCTTTTAGCCTCCTTATAAATGTAAATTCAGTTCACTAGAAAGGACATATGTTTACAATCCCACAGCTGGTAGGTACATGTGTAGCAGTACCTACTAGAGTGTGTGCCAAGCTTATATAGACACATGTCACTTCTATCCCAGAATCCCATTTGGTGCATGGGAACATCTTCATGCTGTAATGCTGTGGAGGTCATTATTACTCCCTGTAATCCTCCATGAAGGTTTTCCATTTTCATTTATACACAGTAATAAAACACACATCTCAGCATCAGGCATTAGGATTAGTACTGACAAGGCTAAAGCTGAAATGTTTTAAGGATGCATTTGCAATGTGGATAGAATAGCTAGCACACAGCATGCAATTGTGCTGGCTTCATGGAGGGTAGGATTCATGCTTCAGCCCTGTTCATATCACAGTGACACCAACAGCATAAAAAGAGGTGGTTTTTTTTGTTCTTTTTAATGAAGATTGAATTAATTTTTCCATTGTAGTACTAATCCAGTATTGTTAATTTATTTTAAGTTTCTAATGTTGATAAGCCACTGGAAGTGTGAAGAGAAATGCACTTTCTAATTTCATCATCTCTTTGTTATTTCTTTGAGGAAGTTGAAATCCTGGGAGGCTGCAATGTGGGGTTGGCTGGCTGTGTTCAGAGCAGGGACTGGTGAGTGTGATGGCTCTGGACAGGGCTGCCTGGGGACAGAGTGAGTGCCTGGGCAGGACCCTGAGCCTGCTGTTCTTTGCTGATGCAGCTTTGAGCTCTTGTGCTTAAGTCTCATGGCATCCAACAGGGCTGCAGCCCATTGCTAAATGTGTGTGAGCATGAGCATGTGCCTTGCTGACCCGGTGCCTGTGCATTTAGAGCCCAGCTACAGCTGCTGCAGGCAGGCCAGGGGGTACATCCCCAGGGGAGATCACAGCCCCTGAAGCATGGGCTGCACCCAGGGGAGGGACAGAGCACTGAGCTGGGAGAGCTCACCCCCTTCTTGTCTTCCATCTCCCCTGAAAGTCACAATCCTGTTTTAGCAGCCAGGAGAAAGCTGTTCTCTCCCTGTCATCTCCTGCCATCTGCTTCTCCTCTTCCTCAACTGGAAGGAATAATGTCATAATCCTCTGGAGCATCCTTGGAGGATGCATGAGGACTGGATGAAATGGAAAAGAATGGGAGATACTTCTGGTGCAGCCAATAGGTGTGACAATCCTCATGTTGCTGCCCCATGGCCAAAACATGGGGTAAAACCAGGGCCAACCCAGTAACCAACCCAGGTGCATTGCCCCAGAGGGAGTCCTGCCTCCTGAAAATTCCCATCACACACCCCAGTCCAAGCAACAGAAGGCTTTAGACCTCTCCTCCCCTATCCCTGCATTGTGAAGGAACAGCTGGCCTCATAACAAAACATAAATTCCCAGTGCAGAATGAATGAAAAGGAGCAAATGGATCCATTACAGGCAATCATGTTTTGCCCAAATTTTTCTAAGAGCCCTGGTTACTTAAGTGGAGGAGCTTGGCACAAGCATGGTCACTGGGTTATATATTCACTTCTGCTTTCTGGCCATTCCACACTACAATAAACACAACTGGAGCCCAGCAGGTTCAGCATGCTTTTACATTGCTAGATTTACAGTTGCTGGCATACTGGAGATATGAAGGATTGAGAAGCAATTTCATATATTGCTGTTGCCACTGCTGGCAGTTCCCTGCCCTTCAAGATATTTGTTGTGATAGCACGGAACCACCCCCTCTGAAGGATATATATTTAAAAAGCCCAAGGTGCTGAAGGAATGCTTTAGCTCAGTGTTCTTGCCAAGGTTTTAGTAAATATCATATATATTTAGTATATTTGTCATTATTTTCTGTTTCCTTTTCTAATTCGTAATTGGGGTTTAATTGCAGCCTTAAATATGTTTTTATTTTAGCAGAAATAGAAAAAAAAATCAGTCAGCCTATCATAAGAAGGAAAACAGATATGAGAAAACTGAAGTTTGTGGTATTAATCTTTCCCTCCTGACTTCCCCATCTTTGCGGTGAAAATATGCAGTTGGCTGCCTTTTAGGATGGGTGCTAAAAAAAAGGGCAAAACTTAAAGACCTTAATTCACCAGCCTTAGACACTCCTCTGTGAGTACCTACCCCTGACAACGTGACAATGCTGGGTGCTGAAACTGCCTGAAAAATAATGTATGGTGGGGAAAGCCACCCAAGCAACAGCTCTCCATGGCTTTTGTACTGAGCATGTCCCAGTGAGACCCAGCAGCTGCCCTGAGCAGACAAATGCAGTAGCAGCTGCATAGTGCCTTTTGCAAAGCACCAGGCACTAGTGTCATATTTTATGGCTGGTGGAAATTCAGCCACTGAAAAGCCAAAAGAAATGTGTGTCAGATGTTGTCTCAAGTCAGACAACTAAATAATACAAAGTCTTGTTGCAGTTGGTGAATCAGGTCTCGGAGTAACTTACTTGGCTCTTAGGCTCAGCTTCCACTAGGGCATCAGCACTGTTGTTACTCTGTGATGTAACCAGTTTATGGTGCAGCGTTGCTTGTTTGTGGTAGGGCAGTTCCCAGGTCCTGGAGGGGCTGGGAATGTCAGCCCTGTATGAAGGCAGGGAGGCAGAGGCAGCCTGGCCCTGCAGGAGGTGCTGGCACTGTCCCATCACAGCCCTGCATGCTGTCCCCTGGCCGTGCTGCTGCATTTCTCTCATGTTCTTGTCCATTTGGTGGCTAATGCCTCCCTGTGTAGATGAGAGCAATTTCTGTAGCTGCAGGAATGGGGGCACACACACATCCCCTGAGCTGGGCAGAGTGTTTGTGCTCACAGCTCTGACACCCCATAGGAGCTGCCAGCATCCTGCTTCCCTCAGACACCATTTCTGTGGATTTCAGGGCATCATTCCTCCCAGGACTAGTGCCCAGACCCCAGGGCCTCTGCTCTGCAGAGCTCCCTACATAAACCCAAGCTCAGGAGCAGAGCACTGCTGATCATGCATCTTCTGAAATGTAAGAACCAAAAAGCACATTATCATTGCAATTCATAGTAGTGCCCTACGTGTCAGCTTGTGGGACAAAGGAAAATCTGTGAGGAATAAAAGATAGCAAGTCCCTAGCACAATGAATATTTTCCTGGTATAAAAACTTTTCATGATGAAATGGCCTCATCTCTGAGCAAAATCATTGTATTGCCCAAGCTGTTGTCAAAAACTTTTATGCATTGACTGCTTTTTCCACTAGATGATATTTACACTTCTCCATTCACCCCATTGATCTTCATTTTTGCAGGAAATTTTTTGGGGGTAAAATATAACCTTTTTTCTTTTTTTTTTTCTTTTTTTTTTTTTTTTTAAGGTAAACTTCCAAGAATTGTACTTGAGGGAAGATATACAGGGTAGACGTAGTGACAATTTAATAGCCTGTAGTATATCAGATGTCTTCTGTGCTGCCATCTTCTTGGGGAAAGTATTTCTATTCTGTGCATTAAACTATGCACATAGAAAGCTGTATAAACACCCTCATTTTTTTCTCTTTCAGGAATTGGCACTGGCAGAATGTGTGTGTTGTACAGGAGCTGCACTGCTCCTCTCCTGCAGGAAATAGAATAAAACATTTATTCCATTGCTCACACATTCACAGCAAGCCTGTAGATTAACTGTCCTTTCACAGAACACTGTTTACTCGTTTCACAGAAAATACATTATTTCCTTGATTTAGTTTCTATTTGGTGTGCTAAAGAAATCAAATTTCCATATAGAAAAGTATACACAAAGGATATGACCTTTTAAGTTTAGCAGAGAAAATAACTGAGTGAATGTAATTAATATGCCATATAAATGCCAACAACAACATTAATGCACCATAAAATCAGGACAGTTAAAATGATATAATCTGGAAATGAAAAAGTTAAGTTTCTGGTAGCTTCATTAATTTGCTCACATAGTATTGAAGCACAATCTCCTTATCTGAAGCAGGAGAATAGATATGGAATGAGAAAATGTATTTTTGTTAGGAGGAAACTGGATCTTGCTTAAGGCTTGACCAAACTCCTGAGTTGGCAGCCCTACTTATGCACTTAGTATCATTTTTTCAGTGCTTATACCCTTTAATTTTTCCGTTCTGCATGTCTCAGATCCAAAGCCTGTCCACGCCTGTAGGTCTGTCAGCAGTAATGTAGTAAAATACTTGCATTGCCGTAGTTATGCCACTGCAATGTGTCTTTTTCTAGACTAAATATTTTTCCTGAAGTTGCTTTCTCATACAGAACATTTCCCTACCATGTTCATAGTCCAATATCCTCCTGTGAGTAAGGTATTCCCAGGGGATAAATGCTTCCTAAGGTTCAGGTGGGCAGTTTGTACCTGACTTTAACAAAGAGGTCTCCAGAGGAAAAAGCCTGTGGGGCTTTTTTGGGCTTTTTTTTTTTGTTTGGGTTTTCTGGGGAGGTGGGGTTGGTTGTTTTTTTTTTGTTTGTTTTTTTTGGGTTTGGGTTTTTTGGGTTTTTTTTTTTTGTTTGGATTTTCTGGGGGGGGTGGGGAGTTGGTTGGTTTTTTTTTGTTTGTTTTTTTTAGGTTTGGGGTTTTTGGGTTTTTTTTTTTTTTTTTTTTGTATTTCTAGAATGCAAAAATAACAGCCAAATAACAGCTAAACTTTCCAGTAAAGGGTAAACAGTGGGGCAGGGGTCAGCCAGGCAAAATGTGATCCCAACAACGTGGGAATGCTGCTTAAGAGCTGAAACTTCATTTCAAGTCACTCTGCCACCTCTATTCTGGGGCTGGCAAATGCTTCCATCACTGCAAGGGTGTGTTGTGGCTTAGTGACCACAACTAAGGCACCTGTCCAGCTGTTCCAGCCTTAGGTTAGTTGTTAGAGGTGAAAGAAATGGTGGAGAAAAGAGACAAAGCTTTAGCTTAAATATGAGGGGATCTATTCTTCCCACTGTGTGTGCCCAGCTCCCGTTAATAATGAAATGTTAATGATAGTTATGTGTTCACATCAAAGGCAGAGCACAGCCTTTCATCTCACTTAAATCTTATTCAAATAATTAATGGAAGTAGTTGTCTATGAAAAAAAATATTAAGAAATTCCTTTGTAGAGCATTTCAAACTTTGTTGTCCCTGGGGACCAGCTCCTAGAATCGAGGAAGCTAACAAATTGCATTTAAGTGGGTCTGTCCCTGCTTTCCACCAGCCTTGACTGCATTGCATCCTAAAAAACTGTGAAACGTTATTGGCATTGCAATAGATAATCCAACCAAAATCAAATCAAAAATCCCTGACAAGGCCTATGTTATGAAAATAATCATAAATCTTCTGCTGTGGTAGCTGTGTGTACCAGCATTAAGCATTCTGCTCAGACCTGTGTCAATATAAAAGAAATGGGGGAAAAGATGTCATCTGAAGTTCTGGTATCTACTCTGCATCTGTTGTCTGGTGTGCCTGGTCACTGCCCCTTGCTTCGGTCACAGCCACAGGCCTGGAACAGCTCCCCTGGAGAGGCAAAGAGGGATAAGCCCAGTCCCCAGCTCTCATTAGCTGGCATTAGAGCCAGCCTCATTTCTGGTGGCTTTTAGCCCTCCTGCAAAGGCTGACATGGCCCCTGCAGCTGAGGAATGCTCTCTGGGAATGCTCTCTGGGAATGTTCTCTGGGAATCTCTCTCTTGGGTTTCTCTTGCAGGGTT